ACCACCGGGACCTCCAGGGGCGGTACCAGTCAGGAAGCACATCCGCCATCGCCTCCCAGGTCCCCATCTGCCACCAAAGGGCCCCCGGCCTGGCTGCTGCCCAGCTTCCCTTAGAACAGAGGGTCCTGTCTAGGGTCCCGGGTGAAAAGGGGTGAAGTGGTTGAGCGGCTCCAGCAGTTTGCCCATCTGTCATCCATCTCCTTCCAGCTCCTGACTTTAAATGCCATCCAGCCCGGCTGGTGTGGCTCAGCGGCTGAGTGTTAACCTGTGAACCAGGAGGCCACGGTTCAATTCCCGGTCAGGGCACAGGCCCAGGTTGCAGGCTCGATCCCCAGTGTGGGGCGTGCCGGAGGCAGCCAATCAATGATTCTTATTCATCACTGATGTTTCTATCTCTCTCTCCCTCTCCAGTCTTCTCTGAAATCAATATATATACATGTATATATGTATATGTGTGTATATATGTATATATGTAATAAAACAACAACATGCAAATGCCTTCTCGCTATATACTCAAAAGAATTCCGTCAAGGCCCACCTGGCTCCTACGCTAGGCTAAAGGCCAGACACTAGGAGAGCAGAACCGAGTAAGCTCCAGGAGGGCTTCATGGCTAACTGGGGGGTGGGAATCCGAGAAGACTGCCTGGAGGAGGAGGACTTGGCAAGGGGAAGATGTGGAGGGAGAGGAGTGGTCTGAAGCAGATGGTGGCAGGTCTTGAAGGCACCTTCTGTGTTTCTGTTTCTCTTTCTCTCCATTTCTGTCCTCTGTCTCCATGTTTCTCTGTCTCTTCACTTTCTCTTTATCTGTCTTTTTGTGTCTCTCTCCTCTCTCTGCCTCCATCTCCTGTGCCCAGTGCCTTGGCTAATTCCTTGACTGTGGGCATAAAAAGAGGATTAGCTAAGGTCTCACGAGTCCTCCTGGAGTCCCTAATTCCATGGCTCCCTGTCTCTCACACGGAAATGATGGATTTGTTCTCAGTTCCTAATTAGCTAATTATGCCTTGGCTCCATGGCCCTGGGACTCCCGGGGCCCCAGGGAGGACAATGAGCTGGGGCCCAGCTCAGTAGAGGGAGGTGGGAGGGAGGAGGGATCAGCTGCCATTCAGGGAAGTCAGCCGGCAGGTTTTCAGGAGCCTTTCAGAATTTTAATATCCTGGAGAACAAGGGAAATGTAATTAATTGAGCAAAAAGGCTGGGCCCAGGGGAGCAGCCAGGCAGGGACTGTCCTGTGCTGCTTCCTAGAGCAGCGGTTCTCAACCTGTGGGTCGCGACCCCTTTGGGGATCGAACGACCCTTTCACAGGGGTCGCCTAAGACCATGGGAAAACACATATCTAATTACATATTGTTTTTGTGATGAATCACTATGCTTTAGTTATGTTCAATTTGTAACAATGAAAATACATCCTGCCTATCAGATATTTACATGACGATTCATAACAGTAGCAAAATCACAGTTATGAAGTAGCAACGAAAATAATTTTATGGTTGGGGGTCACCACAACATGAGAAACTATATTAAAGGCATTAGGAAGGTTGAGAACCACTGTTCTAGAGGCTTTTCTGATCTGGCCCCTTCTCTCAGTCGCTGCGCTCACCTCCGGCCTTGCCCTGGCCTCCAGGATTGCCCCTTCTTGTTTAACCCCAGACCCATCTGGGCTCGGTCTGCTTAGAAATCTGCCGACTGGCCTCCCCAACCAGTCACCCGGCGCAGAGCCCCACAGTCCTTAAACCCCCAAGCACAACCTGTGTGCTCTGAATGGTCACGCCTTTGCCCCAAGCTCCCGCCAGGTGAGGGCCCAGCGCATGTCTGCCCCTTCGGGAATGCGCCCAGAGCTGCCCACTCCCTGGCCATGGTCCTTTCACCCCAACACTGTGGCCCCCTGTCCCCCTGCTGCTAGACTGCAAGTTCGGAGGGGGTGAAATGGGACTTGTTCGTCCTTGGACCCGCCATGTGGCCGGCACGGCGTGCTATCGGTGTCTGATGGGTGAATGACGGCGGGACACCAGGCAGGCCTGTGATGACTCCTGTGACATTCAGACGGGTTGTAGGACGCTTCTTCTGTTTTGTTGCTTCCCTCCTCCCAACACCCCCTGGCTTCCCTTTCGGGGGGTGGATGCAGGGAGTTGGGGTATTGAGCCTTTCCTGAGAGGAGGTTGACTGAATTTTGTGGGGAGGGGGCATGGGGCTAGGTTTTTGTTGTGTGTTTTTTTTTAAACTTCCAAGCTCTTTTTAAAAAAAATATATTTTATTGATTTTTTAAAGAGAGGAAGGGAGAGGGATAGAGAGTTAGAAACATCGATCAGCTGCCTCCTGCACACTCCCTACTGGGGATGTGCCCACAGCCAAGGTACATGCCCTTGACCGGAATCGAACCTGGGACCCTTGAGTCCACAGGCTGATGCTCTATCCCCTGAGCCAAACTGGCTAGGGTGGGGCTAGGCATTAATTATTGATTAGAAAGCACTCCACATAGAGCTCATGATGCAAATCCCAAATAATTACCCGTGTGAATAACCACCGCAGCATCGCCCCTGGAATACGTAAAACTCGGGGCAGGGCCACTGTTCTCCTTATCGCCATCTCTCCCTCCTTTCCTCTCCAATCTTCCACTCTCCCCGTGACTTCCGCTTCACGCATTCACCAGCAGTCGTTCCACAGATGTTGGCTGAGCCCCTGTTCTGGGCCGGGACCTGCTGGGCTCTGGGAGCTCCGAGGTGACTCAGACACAGGCCCTGTCCCCGAGAGCTTTCAGCCAGTGGAGGAGCTGGGAAGGTACCCCAGCGCAGGAAGAAGACTAGATGTTGATGGGCACTTCATGGTTGTGCGGCATGTAGCCTGCACACGTGCACGGCAGCCCCGGCCAGGTTGGGCTGGGATTGCCCCGAGCAGGAGAGGATGAAGTCTACTGGGATGGAATGGAAGTGCTATGGGAAGGCTTCTCAGAGAGAAAGTAGCGCTTCACCTGGGCTGTGGTGGCCGAACAGGGGTTTTCCAGGCAAAGGGGAGACGGAAGAAAGAGAGAAAACGTGAGTGAAAGCTTGGAGGTGTGAAATCCATGGTATGTTTAGGGAACTTCAAATAATTTGGTATTGCATAGGGGTGCAAACTGGTTAGAGGGAGGGGGGCGGGGAGAGATGAATCTAGAGAGGTAGGCAGTTGTGGATCTCACAGGATCTTGGGTGTGTGTGTGTGTGTGTGCAATCAAGGGTGATACCAACTTTTGACTCTCTTTGGGGCCACAGACACTTGTATGTGAACCTTCTCCCGGAAAAATTCATGGTATCGTACCTCCATCTTTTACAGCAATGTCATAAGGCTCATGAACCACCTCCCAGGCCCCCCCGCAGCTTCCATGGGTGAGGGGAGCCCGAGATTGTCATGCATGGTGGTGACATGTCCAGGTTTGAGTTCTAGAGGGTGGCTGTTGTCAGGAGTCGCCCCCTCTCTGTCCCGGGCTCAGTTTTCCTTGGGCTGGCTTCCACCCCAGGCAGGCACTGCCCTCCGGAGGCAAGATGGCCTTAGCCGTTCAAGGCCCAACTCCTGTTCTGCAGAAAGAGAGCATTTTCCTCCAGCAGAAGTCTCGGGGCTGACTCTCATTGGTTCTGACTGGGGTCACATGCCCATCCTGGACCAACGCCTGGGGCTGGGGGAACAGAAAATGCTGATTGGCCAGGCCTAGGCCATGTGATCCCTCTAGGGAGAGCAGGTCAATTTCACAGGTAGGGGGTGGCCTGGGGGTGGGGGAGATGAGCCTGTGGAGAGAGAAAAGGCATGGAGGGTATGGATGGGTCAGCCCAGGCAGGAGGGGGCAGAAGGGGGCAGGAGGGGGCAGAAGGGAAGAATGGGGAGACAGATGTGAAGAGTAAGGGTGTGGGGTGGGGCTGGAAGCTGCTGTGTTCTGTTCTCCATTTTCACTGGGGGCAGGTGTGGGAGCCCCATGGTTTGCTGAAAGTTGGCGTGGCCCTTTGCAGGGCGGTTGTGTCTTCTTGGGCCCCTTTGCTGAGAGTCCTTATCCTCCGAGAGGGAAAGGGATTGGCTCATGGCCCCACAGGCCAGCAGGGCAGGATCTGAACCAGACTCTCTCTAAATCACAGACTTTCTCTCCCTACCTGTTGGGTTTCAGGATGTCAGCCCCTCCAGGGTGTGACTGACTGCCTTTCCCACGCCTGCCTGACACCCCCCGCCCCCCTCAGGCCACCTGGTCCCCCTCCCCGGGGACTCGTCTCCATTCCCATTTCCCCATTTTCTCCTCTTTTTGCTGCTGGCTCAGCTGGCTCATTGCAGCTATTTCTCAGGACATCAGGCCAGATCTGAGTCCCTCGCTGGCCATGTCTCTTCTGTAGGTGGCTCTGCCTGGTTCCATCATGCAGTGGGCTGGGTCAGCAGGGTGGTTCTGACTGGTCCCGGTGTGTCCTGGCCTGCGCGGGGACCGCTGACTGCCCTGGAGATGAAGGGCTTTCGGGCCACACTCATTAGGCACCTGCTGTGCCCATCCTGGGAGGGTGCTGGGCACAGTGAGATGAGCCCGCCTTGGTCCCAGGCCCTGGATACTGGAAGGAGTGCGAGGCCTGGTGTCCGGACACCCAGTTTAAACCCACACGCTGCCATTGTCCAGCTGTGGGACCTGGGCAGGGAGCTTCAGTTCTGTGAGCCTCCAGGTGCCTCTTCTATAAAATAGGGGTAAATAACCAACCTCACAGGGTTGCCATGAAGACTGAGAGAGGCCATAGTTGTGCATTACCCAGAAGAGTGCTTGGCACATAAAAGGTGCTTCACAAATGCCTGCTTATTCACCCACAATCTAGAGGAAGTGCAATGGGGCCCAGAGCCACTTCCATGGCCCCTGGGTGGAGGGGCAGATACCAAGGAGAAGGTCTGGGCCGCGTGGCTCCACCTCTCCCCCCAATCCCCTCTCTCTGTTTCTCTCGCCCTGCTCTCCTGGCTCCTCTTCGGGCCTCTGCTCCCTGTCTGACCACCCCCCCTCCCCTCCCCTGCAGGTATGCGGATCCTGGTGAACCTGCTCCTGGACACGCTGCCCATGCTGGGGAACGTCCTGCTGCTCTGCTTCTTCGTCTTCTTCATCTTTGGCATCATCGGCGTGCAGCTCTGGGCCGGCCTGCTGCGCAACCGCTGCTTCCTGGAGGAGAACTTCACCATGTGAGTGCGGGCCCGCCCCCGGCGGCTCCCGGCAGCTTCACCTGGGGCACCCGTGGTGCTGAGTATCTTAGGGCCAGGAAGGTCTCTCCACTGAGCACCTGTTCCCAACGCTTATTCCCAGGGGTGCGGGGAGGTCAGCGGATGTGCCAGGTGAGTTGGTGGTGGGTTTCCTCTGAATGGCTGGATGCCAAAATGAGCACGAAGGCCTCTGAGCTCTCAAAACTGGTGTCGCAAAGTCCCCGTCTAAACTAGGCCCTGAGGTGTGCGTTCAGCTCCTAGAGACTCTCACTTAATACAGTTTTCACTTGGCAATTGGGGGTCAGGGCCAACACAGTGGAAGCAGCAAACTACAGGTGACCCTTGAACAGCACGGGCTTGAACTGCATGGGTCCACTTATACACAGGTTGTTTTTGAGAAATATATTGGACATTTTTTGAAGAGCTGTGACAATGTAAAATCCTAAGATGAACCTTAGGATTTTCTTTTATTTAGAAAAGAAAATTTCAAATTGATTTTAGAGAGGGAGGAAGGGAGAGAGATAGAGAGAAACATCAATGTGTGAGAGAAACATTGATCGGTTGCCTCTGCATAGGCCCCAACCTGGGATCGAACTCACAGCCGGGGTATGTGCCCTGACTGGGAATCGAACCCATGCACTTGTGGTGCATGGGATGACACTCCCAACCAACTGAGCCACACCAGCCAGGACAGGATTTTCTTAATAACATTTTCTTTTCTCCAACTTGCTTTATTGTGTGTATGGTGTGAGGTAGGGATCTACCTTAATTATTTTCCAAATGGACAGCAATGATCCCAACACCATTTATTGTTTCCTCCTTTCATTCCCCATGGATCTAAAAAGGTATCTTTGTAATATACTAAGTTCTTTTTTAAACATGGGCTTTCCCCTGTCACTGTGATGTTCCATGATTCTTTCTGTTCTGGTTACAATATCACTGCATTCATAGTTTGTATATTGCTGTCTTGCAGGGCTGTACGCCACTCATTTCTTGTTTTAAAAAATTGTCCTGACTGTTCTTATCCAGATAAATCCTAGAACTATCTGGCCAGGTTCCACAGACAAAATCCCATCGAGATTTTGGTTGGAATTCCGGTGAATCACAGATGACCCTTGCAGGAGGCAGGGCAGGGATTGTTATCTCTGTTTTTCAGATAAGGAAATGGAAATTCAGGGAGGGGAAGTGACCAGTCCGAGGCCCATAAATGGGGAGGGTGGGTCAGTAAATCCAGCATCTGTTCATTGAGCACCTACTCTGTGCTGACCAAACAGTGTGTGGGGACTAGGGATACTGAGACCCAGTCTTTGTCCTAAAAGAGCCAGCCTCCCAGGGGAGTTGAGTGCATGTGCCCCAGGAGCAATAGTGGAGGCGTGTGCAGGGTACAGTCTGGCCACAGGGGGCCCAGGATCAGTCCTGCTTGATCCTGAGAAGGCTCCCTCAGGGAATCCTTCTGGGGGGTGGGTGACCCTGGAACTGACCACAGTGGTTATAGGCGGTGGGGGTGGGGGGTCGTGTTTTGTGGCCGTGGCAGAGGTGAGGAAAGGTATCCCAGGCAGAGGGAACAGCATGTGCAAAGGCCTGGAGGCCATAGCAGTGACCCCTCCCCTTCTCCCCTTTTGCCCACCATCACTGTGGACAGACAAGGGGATGTGGCCCTGCCCCCCTACTACCAGCCGGAGGAGGACGACGAGATGCCCTTCATCTGCTCCCTTTCGGGGGACAACGGCATCATGGGCTGCCATGAGATCCCTCCGCTCAAGGAGCAGGGCCGCGAGTGCTGCCTGTCCAAGGACGATGTCTACGACTTCGGGGCGGGGCGCCCGGACCTCAACGCCAGCGGGCTCTGTGTCAACTGGAACCGCTACTACAATGTGTGCCGCACCGGCAGCGCCAACCCCCACAAGGGGGCCATCAACTTTGACAACATCGGCTATGCCTGGATCGTCATCTTCCAGGCGAGACACTAGCCCCGGTGCTGGGGCCTGGGGGCTGGGGGTTGGTGGGGTGGGGTGGATTGAGCAGCTTCACCTGGCCACCAGGGCTCTGTGCTCAGCATTTGCCACTTCCTTCATTGAAATCTGCCCGACTTGCTGGCACGATAGGCACTGTCATGCCCACATTATAGACAGAGCAACTGAGGTTCAAAGAAAGGGCTATAGGACCTTGGGGATACTGCTTGATGTCTCGGTGCCTCAGTTTTCACATCCCTAAAATGGGTAACAGCTCCCCCACCTTGAATGGCTGAGAAAAATTGGCCGGATGATGTGGGCAGAGCGGTCACCCCCGTGTGCAGGGAGTGCTCAGTCAGGTCACTGAGGACAGCAGGAAGGAGGGGCAGGAGCAGGAGTGGTGGTGTGAAGCCCCCTGAGGAGGGAGCGGGCCTTACTGGGGGGCTGCTCCACTCACTTTGCTCTGGGAGCGGCAGGACCACGGAATTCAGAGCTTCCAGGTGTGATGTGACCACAGCCCAGCGCTGTACCCTGGGACCCTCCGGCTGGAGAGGGTAGGCGGGCTGCCCAGGGGCCACCTGCTCGTGCGTTTGCCAGCAGTGAGCAGACAGCAGAGCTGGGGAGGAGACCCCTGTGTGTGTCTTGCCTCCCTCTCCCGGAAGGAGTGTGTGGGGACAGAGTCACACCAGCCTCATCACTGCCACACTCCAAGGCTCTGCTGGGCTCAGGCAGCCCTGCTGGGTGGGCTCCATCAGCCCCATACACCGAGGAGAAGCAGCTGAGGTTTAGAGAGAGCCGGAGCCGGAGACCAGGGACCCCTACTTGCAGGAGGTGGTAGACTAGGAAGGGGGCGGGCTCTGGAGCGACAGGGATCGGACCAAGCGTCTGTTCTGCTCCCTGGCTGTGTGATCTTGAGCAGGTGCCCTAACCTCTCTGAAACTCAGTTTCTCTCCTGTATAATGAGGATGACGACGGCTGGCCTGTATGAGAGGTAATGCGTGTCAAGCATCCTGGCGCACAGTAGGGCCTCTGTCTGGGGCGCTGCCTTTGCTGCCTGCCCTTGCTGAGAATCGGCCTGGCTCAGGCCCGCCCTCCCCTCTGCTCTGTCCTGGCTGCAGGTGATCACCCTGGAAGGCTGGGTGGAGATCATGTACTACGTGATGGATGCCCACTCCTTCTACAACTTCATCTATTTTATCCTGCTCATTATAGTAAGTGTCTGAGGAGCCGCGGCTGTCCGGGCAAGCTCAAGGACCCACGGGCCAGGGGGGAGGCGGGGGGTCTTTGGGAGCCCCCGGGGAGCTCCTCAGAGCCAGAAAGACGGGGTGGGAGAGAACGGGGGAGGAGGGCAGTTTTTTAAATGCAGCTCAGCAGCCGGTGATTGAAGGGAGCTGTCAGGGGCGGTACTGGAGGCATCCATCACTTCCGATTGTCTTCATTTCTCATCCTGGCATCTGAGTCCACCCCCGGCTCCCGCTCCTGTTTCTCGGCCTCGTCGTCCCTGGGAAAACATGCTTTTCATTGACCTGAGCCGGGTGCAGCCCCGGGATGGAAGCTCTCCGGCTCCAGCTTAGCCCTCTTGTCCCGGCTGCTCTGAGCCGGAGGCCCAGGCTGCTTCCCGAGCAGGCTCTGGAGAGGAGACCGAGCCTGCCATGACCTGGCGGAGCTCCCCAAGACTCTGGGAGGTCCCCACCCCCCACCCGCAGGCAGCCCTGCCTTGTTGGGGGACCTGGAGACCGAGGAGGCACTCCATCGCCTCACCCCCCTTCCGGGCCAGCCCCGCCTGCCTCCCCCCACAGTCTCGCCCGAGAAGCGCATCCACCCTGTCTGACTGCAGCTGCAGCCACTGTCCCCACACAGTCCCCAAATGTCAAGGTGACTCACTCCTGGGCTAGTGGCTGCCGGCGCCCTCTGCTGTGAGCTGGCTGCTCTGGCCTCCTGGGGTGGGAGAGGCCACACTGACCCTCTCGGGCAGCACCCCATCCTGAGCTGGTAGGACCTTGACCTGGGGGTTCAGGACAAGCTGACAGGTGACCTGAGACACACCTGCTGTTGGCTGTGCTCTGTGCCTACCTGGGGAGGCTGGGGCCGTGGGCCCATAGGAGACACCCGGGGGAAAGGAGGCAGGAGCAGGCTTTGTTCAGAGCTGCCGTTCACCCCCTGGTTGGTTCAGTCTCTCCCCGGCACATTCAGGGAGGCCTGCACTGCACCCGGCCCTGGGCAGAGCTGGGGGCTGAGCCGGGGGTCAGACAGGCCCTGCCGGGGGGAGCTCTTAGTCCCATGGGGAAGATGGGTACAGCGACAGCATCTCAGGAGCCATGATAGTGGGGCACCTGAGAAGGCTTTAAGCTAGCTCAGAGGAGGGTGGGGGCGTGGGAGGAGGTGACACCAGAATTGAGCCTTAAAGGCTCGGGGGTGAGGGAAATGCAGGGTGCATTCACAGAGGCCCTGATGCAGGCAGACCCTCCTGCAGGGGGACACGACCCACTGGGGTGGCTAGAGAAGCCTCGATTCCAGAGGGAGGCTGAGGGATGCTCTGGCTGCTCCTCCGGGTGGAGTTCGGGGTTGATTCTGGGTTAGTAACTCCTGAGTGGCCCAGAGCAGGCCCCTCCACTCCTGAGCTCACAGTGAAATGGGGAACAGGGCCAGTCCAGGCAGAGCCTGGGGGGCTGGGCGGTCACTTACCCCCTCAACCCTGGCCACGCAGGGCCACCTGCTCGCTCCGTAGATGAGGAGCAGGCACCCCGGAGAGGTGAGGTGCCCGCCATGCCCCTGAGGAGTCCTCAGACCCAGATCCCCAGGGCTCCGTCTGCTTACAGAAGTCCTCAGCTGGTCCTGCTGAGCCTCCCATTTTACAGATGGGGAAATGGAGGCCCAGGGCAGCAGCTGCAGGGGTAGGCTGGGTAGAAGGCTGATAGGTGTGAGCTCCAGAGGGCAGGATCTGAACTCCTCACAGGCTGGTACGGAGCAGGTCCCCAGGAAGTGTGAACGAGTGGGGCCTGTTCTTACCTGGGAATTTTCCCAGAGTCCTCTCAGTCCTGAAGCTCTCACCTCACGGCCCCAGAACCCCAGCTCCCCAGCCATGCTGTCGGGGAGAGGCGGGAAGGGTGAGTCAGTGACGGATTCAGCCTGCAGGAACTCCTGGTGGGCAGCCTGGAAGAGGGTGAAAAGCCACCACCCAGCCCCTCACTGGCAGGGCCTGAGCCCGCGCAAAGGCTTAGTGAATGCCAGGGAGGGGCCCACCCTCTGGAAACCAGAGCAGGAGGGACCCCTGGAGCTGAGCCCTGGGACTTGAGGTGGCAAGAATTCCTAATGCCACTGGGCCGCTTCCCCCCTCACCCCATCCAAGCCCAGATAGGACCACACCAGCGACAGCTTCTCAGGGATGCTCCTCTGCTCTTGTCCGGATGCCCAGCTGGGGCCAAAGGCAAGGTCAGAGAGAGCAGGGCTGACGTGGGCCTCAGGGCCCGGAAGGCCTGGGAGGGGCCTCGGTGCTGAGTCCCTGGTGGGAGGGCAGTGAGGCCAGAGCTGGGGTCCGAGGGGAGCGGGTTTGGAGCAGGTCCCCGTGGAGCCTGGGGAGCTGCCTGGGCCACGGCCGCCTGCGGCCCTGACGTCCTCTGGGAGCAAGGCCTCAGCGCTCTTTTCCTGTCCCTGCCTGTGCTGTGCCTCTCCGTCTCTCCGGGCCCTCCGCCTCCTTCCTCGTCTCCCTCTGCTGCCCGTCTCTGCGTCTCTGCGTCTCCCGTGGCCTCTGTCCCAATCCTCTCTGAGCCTCTCTCTCTCCCTCCCTCTCTCTCTCTCTCTCTCTCTCTCTCTCTCTCTCTCTCTCTCTCTCTCTCTGTTGGTGTCTCTCCTTGTTCTGCTCTCTGTGCACCTGCTATCCCTGGTTGTCTGCCTCCCGCTCGGTCCTTCCCCCGTCCTGTCCCGTAACTGCCCCTCCTCCTGTCGCCCTTTCTGCTCTTGCTCCGCCTCCTCACTCGTCTCCATCTCTGCGTCCCTGTCTGTCTCCATCTCTGTCTCCCTCTGGCCCCACCCTCACTGCTGCCTCTCCCACCCTCTGTCCCCCCTTCCCTGTCCTCTCCTCCCGTTGGTCACAGGTGGGCTCCTTCTTCATGATCAACCTGTGCCTCGTTGTCATAGCGACCCAGTTCTCGGAGACCAAGCAGCGGGAGCACCGGCTGATGCTGGAGCAGCGGCAGCGCTACCTGTCCTCCAGCACGGTGGCCAGCTACGCCGAGCCGGGCGACTGCTACGAGGAGATCTTCCAGTACATCTGCCACATCCTGCGCAAGGCCAAGCGCCGCGCCCTGGGCTTCTAC